GAAGTGCTTGCATGATTGAAATCACCAACAAGTTAGTGGAGATTTTCATCTAAGCCATTTGTCACACAGGTTACATATTTGCATAAACTTCGTACAAATAATGGGGGCGCCAAAAAATAACAAAGTTCTGTTCACTGTAGTTCACCACAAGAGGATAATATATCCAAAAATGACCGGATAGCAGAACTGCGGGGCTGAGATTCAAACATGAGACATACGCAACTCTTACCCTTTTGTGGATCCCATTCGTAAACAGCCCCGTCCATCCCACACGAAATCAGTTTGTTATCATCACTAGACCATACAATACAACGGATTTTTCCGTTGTGACCCTTGAGATTGTTCACATTCTCGAATGTTGTGAGTGAAAATATCTGAATGACGTTTCCGTGAACGGCTGCTAGCAGGTGACCACCGTTGCTGAACGCACACTACAATAGAGAGAGAAGTCGGTTGAAATAAAATCTTACTTTTATCTCTCTGCATATATAGCGGAACTGGATCACTATAGACTTATCGTTCAGACTTCTATTCTGTTGTGTAAAGTCCGTTTCAGATTATATATATTATTATATTATAATATATATTATAATGTCGAAACCATTCATCAATCTTTCCTGTCAACAACACACTCCAGAAGAACTCACAGAAATATACATTTAAATGACCCAATGGAATCCTCAGCAATAGACTACTGATCAATTGTGTAATTGAGGGACAAGAAGACAACTTTAACGTTTAATGATGCAGTATGCACACGTTAAGGAGAGGCGCGATCCACCAGAATTAGAACAATGCAAGTTCTAGGCCTTATTCGTCCATTTAATCTATCTGACGATTCCAAACATTTCCTGGCGATCATCCAAGCATTTAGAGAATTACCATGCATTTAAATAAGAAATCTAGGGTTCCTGTGCATCTCATCTACTATCGGGGAAGAGTTTGCCTCAAACATCTCCGCAGGATAAAAGCAGTGTGGACCTTGTTCTTAAGCGTTTCTTTTCAACAACAGAGGAGTGGTATTCCGGTATCGTTCTTTCGGATAGTGCAAATTTTAAAGCGCGATCGCATCTGCAATAACTCTTAAGTGCATGCATGCTTCAATTTTCAGAAAACTATCCACACTTTCATTCGTTCACCAATAATCTGGAGGAAATCTCGGACGAAGCTGAAAAAAACATTTTACATGAGCTCAATCCATAGTTATCTTTTCTACACTGAAATAAGCCTTTTGAGGCTACAAAATAAGGTTTACCCGATGTCGCAGAAATTCCATTGCTTTTTGGCACAGCAGACTCTCCATAATAAGTATATCATCGTGGTATCTTTTCATGCTTACAAATCATTACTGTGTGATATGATATGATGAACTTCCTCAAAGTTTGTTCCACCTTCAATTGACACCTCTTTCCGTTCAGTGATCTAATGGATCATTTTTACAATAAGTCCTTATGTAAAAATAACTTCATCGGCTGTTTTCGGTGGTTCATCCAAGTATTTCGCAATAGAGCTCCACTTCACTTCGGAATCGGGCACATTATCTAAAATCTGAACTCTTTTCCGGCTGAAAGTTTCATGCTCATGGTAAAACCAAATCTATGGTAATGGTGGCAGGTCTAAATGCATTAATCCAACGACGACCGCTGTGACCAATTTCGGACCAGCATGCCGTATTAAGGCTTGTCGGTTGTTGCCTAAACATATTAGCATTGGACAATTTGAGCCTCTCAATCAGATCCAACTACGGTCAGCGAATCGCATGCGGCTTTCTAGGGTCAGTGTTCAGAAGAAAGCGGGAGGTGGCTGTTGGGCACGTTGCAAAGACAATAAAACAACAGGTAAACAAGGAACAGTGTTATTGACATAAAACGGACCTTATAATTGACGTACTTCACGACATCCGCGTATGGGAAATTCGTAGAATGTGCGTATATCATCTATGAGCAGATTCATCAGACGAAGTTTATCACTGAAACCGACTAGGATATACAGCCCTGTTGGATGAAGCGCGATGCTGTACGCCTCCTCAGCAAACTGTTTGGATAGTTCCAGAGTGCTACACAGGTGTAAACGTAAATAAATAAGTCAGAAGAACCACAGAACTGCTATACCACTCTGGAATATTTTCTAAACTGTCATACGAATCATGAATCACTGTTTTGTATTGTTGTATGGATGCACAGCATGATTGGTTATGATCTAGCAACATAGTTGCAATGTTTGAGTTTTGCAGAGTTTATATTCAAACTACTCATTGATTTCACAGTAGCCCTACTGTTGAGGCAATGGGAGCGAAATTGCCGCAAGTTCTCAAAATGGGCAGTACTTGCACTACCTGGAGAATCCTCAGGAAAATCATTGCGCTAGGTGTGGATGTATAACTATTGCATTTTGATGATGCTGACGGAAAACAGTGAATAAATTGTATACATTGCAAATGGTGCTTGGCAAATTATCGACTAAGTCCAAGGATGACAGCTTTGCATGGGGCGAAATATATAAAAATAAGCTAGAAGGAGAAAAAATTCGAAACTTTTGGATGTAAGTAGACTATGGTCACAACATTTTACAAGCACTATAAACTGATGAATGTAAATTTGAATCTCAGGCAGGTGCCAACAATGTATACACTAGTTGTAAAATTATGGTCCCCAAGAGGGATTTGAGTCATCCAATGAACGAAACGTCTCCAACTCTCTGAAAGTCAGACCACTGTAAGGCTGCCGTCTCAATCAATATTCAATGTTTGTTTATAACGGGAGCGATGCAGATACGCCTTCAAACACACAGACTTTCACACACCCGCCGTACACGTCAAAGATCCTGATGAATTTGGTCAGTCGAATAAATGAACTAGTAAGTAAACGAACACTGTAAGTTTCATATCTGGTCTCATAATGGAACCAAGGTTCATTGATTTATATTGTTAATATCTGTTTCTCCCAAGTTATTTTCTCTTCTCACGATGATCTATAGCGATACAATTACACTCAATGGTTTCATTTCGCCTGTTCGCCGAGCTTGGCAATTTGTTTGCAAACGTTTCATCACCAGCCGAGGTGACATCATCAGTGCTTGTGAAGTGGCCGAGCAACGAGAGCCAATTTTCAACATTTTGTTAACACTCAATGGTATTGATTACCAGGGCTTTGTACACATATCTCAATGTAATTCACATGGAAATGATATAATATGGACTCGTTGCCAAGAGAACTTGTGGCTAACAAAGAAACATCCAAACGAGATTCTGGTAGAGAAAAGCACTTTGGGCTAGAAGTATAAGAATAATGAGAATAATTATGACTGAAAACACGTAACTGAGAAGCGGGAACAGATGAGACAGTTAACTTTCCTTAGTCAATATAAACCCAAGAAAAGTATTCTCATGTTTAAACTCGTAGTTCTTTCGCTGTGTTCAACTTAGAATAGGGCTAACATGCGAAAATAACACTGGCCTCGTATAGGTGAATTGAAAATACATCTAATTTATAAACACACTTAAATCGAGAATAAATTCACCAGAGAAAAGGGGGGCAGAAGCTGTTCCACTGTGAGCAGTATAAGGAATACAAAAACTCATAAACCACAGATAAATTGCATAGTATCAAACTCATTTCTATCAGATTTGAATGAAAGCATTGAACGTATTTTGTTTTCTATCTTATCATCATCTATCATTGTTTATGCTTTAAAAAACCAACTCATTTTGAAGTACTTGATAATTGATTTCGCACGATTTATTCCGTTCTCACATATTGCACGACAATGAAATTATTTACCCAATTCAGCAACAATGTTCAGCTGAATCATTGTGTGCTTCAACTAAAGCGATCCTTGTTCAAACGAGTCCACGGTTGGGATGAGATAGTGTTGATCGAAATCACTTATTACATTTGTTTCCAAATAACTGTTGTTGTTGTTTGGTATCTGTTTGGTATTTGCACATTACCATTGCGATTCGGTCAAAATTTGGAAGTATCAAAACTTTGATTGGTTCAAATCTTTTGTCGTATCTAATTTCCGATCAGATTGACATAATGTTTGCAGACACAATTGTGGATTAAAAAATATTGATCTCAGGGCTAACTACTCGGATCGGAATCCCACCGGTGATCAGACCGTTAAATAGATTGCTGGCAGGCAAAGCACAATATTTCAAATCAACGAAACGCGTAGATCAAATATACTATCACAAGCGCTAATAATAATGGAGTGATGTATTACTGCTTTCAATGCATTGACCGTTTGTCCCATGGTATCTCAAGATAACCGATAATGACTAAGTTGAATTAAACTGATTTCGAACTCACTTGGATTCGAAATTCCATATTCGCACAGATCGATCAGCAGCACAGGTGGCAATCAAAGGTTTGCGAATGCAAGTATCCAGTCCTAATATTTGTCCGTGATGAAAAGCTTGTGCCATAGGTTCGAAAGTAACAGATTCTGCTGGAACTTGCGGTCCCTTGACCGACGGGGAAACCAAACCCTTCTGTAGGTATTCATTACCTTTGACTCCAATATCTACCGCGCTTAAATTGAAACTGTAAATTTGGTGTGCATCAGTACTGGCTACAATGATCTCCTCCGATGGACTGACAACCAAGTGTGTGATTCTTTGATTACTTAATTGATCAGCATCGGAACTACTGGTGGGATCAATCGGAACATGAATAGTCCTGGTCAGTCGATACGTTTCACGCACTGTGGTGCTTGTGTTGGCTAGAGACCCTTGAGTTCCGACTGGGTTCTCCTCAACGCGATCAAACCAGTGAACAATACCAGGAGGACAGGCCACTGCCAATCCTTTTGTGGTAGCAACAACCGCAGTGATGCTGGTATCCATCCTCTCTGATGACTGTTCGACATCTTTTCTATAAACAGATTGAACAAAACATGTTTTCGGGGAAGAACAGCAAAGATGAGGAAATATATTTTTTTCAACCATATCACTATTCTCTTTGTACCAGTGCCAAGGTGATAAAAGCAAACAATAGTTCAGTCAAAGTTATATGATGTGATCAATGACATTATATCCCAAAATAGAACTTTTCAAAGTTAAGTTTACATGATTAAAGGAAGCAGAAGTCATTTCAAACGTAGAAAAAAATTTGGTTGTTAGTGTTTTTAGAATTCTATATTGTTATTTTTATTTTGAATTAATCAACGCATTTTTGGGGCAGTAAGGAGACTAATCATAGTAAATCCTATTCGAGTGGGACCAATCTGTTATAGATGAAAGCACGATTTGCAGTTTGGGAAGGTAGTCAAGTTTTGTCTTAAGTTAAATATAACCGGAGTATGAGGCACAACGTCAAACTCTAAGGGCTTTACTGGGCAGGCATATATAACTAGGGTAATCAATCAATCAACTGAGTAGCTTTCATGCGAGAGAGAGAAGAGAAAGTAGGTGATAGTAATGAACTTCAAGCACACAACATCCAGTGTAATTTGATGGAAATCAACAACATTTGAAGCAATCTTTTCTAAATATATGAAATTCTTCTAAAAGTTATTATTCCGTCCTTTTCGTTCATTCTTTATTATAAACGAAAAGATGAAGTCTCAATTACCCAGATTAAACCGTCGAACATCACTTCCCCCATTTAGCGAAGTTTGGCGACATGTGATGGTAGTACGGTGGAAGAGATGGCTATAGGAAAATTAGAGGTTTGAGCGGAGCGTGCTGGACCTACATATAACATAGCGTTACGCTGACGTTTAGTACAAGTTTAGGGCTCACGAAGACTGTACCATAGTATAGAGAATAATACTTTATCAACATAAGCGTTGATTTTGCTTCCACAATAAATATGTGCACTGAACTAATATCGATCAGGTTTTTACTCCATTATTAGTGTAAAATTTAATTCAGTCTTAGAATTTGCCTATGTAGTTGTTACTTATATAATCATTTTTTGGTTACGATTGCGGCCTTTCGAATGTGTTTAATCAATGGTCGACACGAGGAGCATTTGTTACCAAAGAATGCAAATATGAGATTGGTTTGTACTTAACAATGTATTCGATTAAAGCCAATATTGATTCATTTGTTTTATCAAGACCACTGGTATAAATTCTTTTGCATAAATATATATCCACTTGCCCAAGTCACTGTTTGTGCCATATAAGCTATGATATAAAGGTCTTTGTAGCAAACAAAATTAGTTTATTGTCTACTACAGAGCACAAAGTTTTGATTTATCCCTAGTGAGGCACATAACTCTTCTTAAGAGATTCACAACAGAAGTCTTTCTTCTAGCCAAAACTCACCTTCTAGACAATCTAGTGAGTTGAATCTTACTTGATTCTTAACTCTCAGGTGCATAAGTCGATTTATCACTGGAATCAGGATTTTCTTTCGAGCTCCCTTCGTGAGGCTAATCAAATCGATTTTAAACTTTTGTGCACCCACGTTGGTGAAAACGCTGTTGCCGAGCGAATTCAGTAAGCAGGTATGCTCATATAGATGTATTTAAGCAAACATTCCGTGAAAGTGTTACGTAAGGCAAAAAGAACACCTCTCCAATCCACGGAGAAACCGAATACAAGTGACCGCAAAAAAATTAGAATTCTAAAGTAAATAGGTATAAATCAGCTAGCAAAACCTCAGTCAATTTCATATCAAAGATTAAAAAAATGTATAAACACTAGCTCATGTGGTCCTAGCTCGTTTCGACTTTAATATGTATTTTTAAGTCAGTTTGGGATCACTGGTGATTTTCTACTGCCCTTTACCGTATACATTACCAAATAAAAGTTATTTTGGGCTATTAAATCGGTAATTTCAACTAAAGCAACTTTATTTGACTGGTGGTTAT